TAACGCACGTACCAAGTGATGTCGTCCGCGAGCCTCTATCTTCACGACGGCCGTAGGACAAACTGAGGTTATTGGCCTTAATATCTGTATTTCGCGAATAAGCTGGCCCGTGCGAAAGGCAGTGGGCAACTGGCGAGGCCTCGTCTCCAGTCTACCCTGATCGCGATTGTGCCCATTTGATACCTCTCGTCTTTGGCGCAGGCGGAAAGGCCTACGGTGCTGCCGGGCCGTTGACCGCGGTGGGAAAGGCCTTGTTTCCGATCCACGCTCCCGGCGTCGTTCGTGTGCTAACATGGGTCGGAAACGCCGAGTTTCTGATCCCCTGGTTATAGTCGGGCGAAGAGTTCAAGATTTCGGTGTGGATTCTGCTGCTTTGTCTTCTGAACGGAGGAGCCTGGCTCCATTTCCGTAGTCGGACGCGTTTATAGATAACGCGCGTTCGGACTCGTCCTCACTAGCAGCATACTGGCTCTAAGGTCTCGTGTCGATCGGCTGAGGAGGTTCGGATTCGACCTCACTGGCGACTTGCTCGCTCCATAGTCTTGTGTCGATCGGCTGAGGAGGTTCGGACTCGTCATCCATGTGCAGCGTCGTGTGGTGTTTTTCTCTCGTGCACTCGTCAGACCGATGTTTCATGGACAGGCAGTTCCCGCAGAAGCGATCAATCAGTGCTTCCCTCAGCCTCTCTTACGGAGTTTTCCCACGGAACGCTGGACAGAGTCGTATCGGTTGCGTAACTTGGCACAAACGGCACGCGAGAGCAAAGCCGTTCGATTGTTTCTCGGCATTTTTCCTCATGGAGGTGAAACGAGTCATTGTTGATACCTGCAATCATTATTTTTCGGCCCTTTTGTGTACATTAGTATGATAGGTATATGAATATACGTATACATAAGTATATCATAGTTGGGTGGCGAGTAGAAATGAAACTTAATTATGTGTAGTTATTATAAATTTTGTGATTTATATGTTCGATTATTTTATGATACGGGTGCTCTCAGCTTCATAAATCACTATTTTGTGATATTGTATAGTGTGCATAATATTGCACGAGTATCTTGTATAGTGTGTGGGGCACCTCATGTTCATGTATCGATACATTGTTATCGACTTAAGATTCTTACCTTACATTAGGAATGTTCGATATCGTATCGATTTTTTTGAATATCGATATTTCATGGCACGATAATAGATTTTTTGAATCGATATTCCAAGGTCGATATATCGAAGACATCGATACTTTACCCGCAATATCGATATTTAAGTTTAATTTTGTTTTGCATCTTCAAAAAAGTGTATTTAAAAAATACTAAAGTAGGTTTAATCAGCAGCTTGCGTGATTTATTTAGCTATTAAGTTTGACAAACCGCTTTAGTCGACCGGCATGCTGTTTTATTTCTCAGTATATATACAAGATGGAAATAACACAATTAGGTGAGTTGATAAGCAAGTCTAATATTCTATTCAATTGGGAGTAGGATTTTCCACTTTTCCTATATCGCTATTGTTTAGCCCTATACATCGCCATATCGATTTTACATGCAATGAATTAAATCGATTCATGATATCGATACTTTCTTAAATATCGAACATTCCTACCTTAAACGGCGTTTCCACGCCAACCGAATCACGTGGTTCGTTCTCTCAATTATGAACGGCGAATCAACCTGTTTACACGTCACATGCGTGATTCACTTTGCATCTCTGCTTCTTGTTCTTTGCTTTTTCTTAATGTGAAGAAAAAATTTGCAGTGGTTAATTAGCTAAATCAATCGTTTTAACGAATCTAGCTATTTTTCAATGTTTGTGCTGGTGGGGATGTGTGTGGTCTATGTGTTTTGACAGCTGTTATCGATCAAAATTAGAGAAGACAACGATTTGTTCTTGATTCGCATGTTGCTTGGATCTGAATCACCTACGAATGAAGTTATTCGCTCTCAAAATTTTTGTATGGCGAATAACGTGATTCGGTTCGTAATTGGGGCGCCAATCACGAATGAGAGAGCGAATTACGAATGGGAGAGCGAATCACTTGCTCTGGAAACATCGTTTTACATCCGTGAGCAGTCATTATTAATTTGTGTCATGGGGAGTTTACATGATTCAATTTTCACAGGCGATTAGTTGAACCAAAAGTTGAACGAAAGTAGGCAGCCGACTAAATTCGTTGAAAGCGATTAGTTGAAAGGCCGTTTACACCAGGCGATTGTTGCTTTCAACTAAAAATCGCATGAAAGATAGCCTCATGTAAATTCCCTATAATGTTTGTATTACGTGGCCTGCCACCCAGTGTAAACAAAAAAAAATGGTTCTGTAGTGCGATTCTGTAACTCTTAGCAATAAAAAAATTGTTAGGTTACATAACAACTTTTGCCGTTTGCACTAACAATTGTGTGATTCTCTAACTCTTGCTTAACAGCGAAAAACAGCTGATTATTCCTTTTTATTTAAAATATAGAAATGTGGCATCTCAGTCGAGATAAATGTCAAATATGCGAAAAGTACAAAGAGGAATAAGAAAAAAAACTTATTTCCTTCCCGCGGAAACGGAATTTTTAGCGCCAGCAACGTATTGCAATTTTAAAAGGTAGTATTTAGTTATTAATTGGAATTTACTAGAACTTCTTTTATTTCAGGATGTCTATCCAGCCGACGAAAAGGAGCCGTGCATCGGGGGAGCAGTTGAGCGCGATGCTTGACTTTCTGGGTGAAAACCCGAATGTGGCGAGCGGCAAGTTCCAGAAGCTCCATGGCAAGTTGGAGAACACCAAGAAGTGGGCAGAGATGGCAGATAAATTGAATTCTCTTGGGGGGGCTGCCAAATCTGTGGAGCAATGGCAAAATGTAAGTATAAGTGATGAAGTACGGGCATTTCCGGAAATGCATTACTGCAAAACATCGCACCTCTTATTCCAAAAATATGTTTGCTGAAATCAGACATCATTATATACTTAAGTATAAGGAGAGGTGCTTTGCAGTAAGGCATTTCCGAAAACGGCCTACACCAAAGAATAGTAAAGTATGAAAGTGTGTTTCTATTTTGCAAAAGGTCTGGCGCGACCTAAAAAGTCGAACATCGACGCGAGTTCGTGATCGTAAGAGGGAGCAAGCATTGACGGGGAATATACCGCTTCAACAGCCTCCCTTGAACGAATTGGAGAAGCGGGTAGTAGCTCTAGTGGGAAGCAGCTATATGGAGGGGCAACCGGATGTCCAGGAGAATATTCCCATGGAAGAGGTAAGTTGAATTGTACCGTATTAAAAGCCCATGCCAATATGTTAATCATATTGCAATATTCATTATGCTATTTTTAGGAACTGCAATTAACATTGGGGGCGGCGGATGAAAATTTCCGCTTAGTCATGGAGGAAGACACCATGGTAATTCCTCCACTAACGGTGTCGGATAGCGAGTCGGAAATTCGGTGCGAAACTCCGAAAACGCCGAGGCAAACACCGCGCAGAACCGCTAAGCGGAAACGTGCGGAAGAATCGCCAACAAAGGCGAAATTTTTAAGAATTGCCGAGGCACAGGCCGAATCAGAAAAGGTAATTTTTTCAATACTGTATTTGTATTGAATTATTAATAGAACTTTTATTTTCTTAGAGGCTTGCTGAAAGTGCTGCAACCAACGCGGAGGCCAACCGCTCCAATGCTGAGGCAATAAGCAGAATGGCTGCTGCCACAGAGCGAATGGCTACCGTAACTGCAACAATGGCAGAGGCCTTCACGGTGTTGGCGGAGGGGGTGAAAGCTTGTGCGCATGCTTTCGCCCAGTTTACTAATTCACTGGGCCCTCCCCAATAGATATAAATTGTTTGTGTATATACTTTTCTTTTTCTTTTTTAAGGTTCATTAATTTTTTGTTAAAGTTAAGCTCCTTAGCTAACAAAACCAATATAAGTCCAAATTTGAGACTTTGTACAAAAATTACAAAAATTCCACAAACTGTTCTTCACAATTCCAAGCATTTTAATTTTGATTTCTAGAATAATGCAATTTTATAGCTTATTAAAATCGAGTATAATAAAGTGCAAGTTATTCTATAAATTAAAATTATAATGCTTAAGAGGGGACGAAAAGTTTATGTAATTTCTATAATTTTTGTACAAAGTCTCTAATTTGGACCTATATTGGTTTTGTTAGTTAAGGAGCTTAACTTTAACAAAAAATTTATGAACCTTAAAAAAGCACAGAAAAGTAGTCAAAACTGGTAAAAATTTTGATGTGCTATCTTTTGTCGCGGGCTGTATGTATATACATATTTTTATTAATAATAGGCTAGATTATTATTAACTTATTTGTTGGTGCCTTTTTACTTTTTTGTTTTTCAAATGAATTGTTCTTAGTTGAATCTTGTTTTCTGAATTTGTTTATAGTGATAAGTGTTCGTGCCTTGAGTATATGCATTTTTTTTTAATATTCGCAATGTTTTTTATGCTATAAATTTTTGCTCAGTTTTTTTTTTCAAAGGATGGCTCATATTTTAACAAATACTATACAAATCTAAGTTTCACACTGTATACATAAATTAGAAGTATTCTGCCAAGTTTTATCCAAATCGCAAGATTTTTAATAAGAATTTCCAAAAAAAAGTATGTATGCATCCCAATTTTATTATAATTTGCAAATTT